ACAAATAAAACAAATAAAACAGATGAACAAATGAAAAAACAGAAACAAACAATAAAACAAATAAAACCAAAGCAAACAAAACAAATAAATAAATAAGTAAATAAATAAATAAATAAATAAAACACAGCGAATAAATAAAACAAACAGACAAACAAAACAAATAAATAAAACAAACAAACAAAACAAATAAAACAAACAAACAAAACAAGTAAATAAAACAAGTAAACAAATAAATAAAACGAACAAACAAACAAACAAATAAAAAAACAAACAAAACAAACAAATAAATAAAACAAACAGACAAACAAAATAAACAAATAAACAAATAAATAAATAAATAAACAAACAAATAAACAAAACAAATAAACAAATAAACAAAACAAATAAACAAATAAACAAATAAACAAATAAACAAATAAACAAATAAATAAACAAAATAAACAAACAAAATAAACAAATAAATAAATAAACAAATGACGTTGAAGTACTTGGGTGCGATTTCATCGTAGGCGAGGCGAAAATCCAACAGCTTTGAGGGTAAAACCCAGCAATAAGAATTCAACCCTAAGCCTAAGACCTGAGTAAATAAATAAATAAATAAATAAATAAATTAATTAATTAATTAATAGATAAATGTAAAGTAATATCGTAGTGTAGAGTAATAATACACAGGAAGAAGTATAACTATTCAATCCTAAGACCTGAATAGAAATATCAATATAAATATATAAATATAAATATATAAATATAAATATATAAATATAAATATATAAATATAAATATATAAATATAAATATAAATATAAATAAATAAATGTAAAGTAATTTAATCAATTTATAGTAATATCTAGTAATAATAAATAATAAACCTGAACAAATATAAATAAATACAAATTAACTAATTAATAATTATAATAATAATAATGAGAATAAATAATAACAATTTAAACCTAAGCCCAACACCTGCATTAATGTAGACAAACGCTACAGTTGCTGCTGTAGTTGCTGCTGCTGTTTGTGTTGCTGCTGCTGCTGCTGCTGCTGCTGCTGGTGCTGCTGGTGGTTTAGCTGCTGCATGAACTATCTACAAATAAAATATTATAAATAAGAATACGAGTAGACAGAATTGTTTGTATTCTTACAAGGATTCTTCCTTTTCGCTCAGTTTTCAGGTGTATAGGCAGTGGAGGGTTTAAACAAGGATCGTCGGGTGTATACAGAAGCCCCGGCCACCAAGGAGAAGAGTTTTTCTTAAACCAGACTAAAGGCTCTCCTCTTCGTCCAACTACTCGAGAGAAAGCAGACAAATAACTCTTCTTATTGCTGCTTATGTCTGGCACCTGACCCCTGCGTTTCTTTGATGATCCTCCTGTACAACAAATAAAACATAAATATATTTAGGTTTATCTATTTATTTATTTATTTATTTGTTTATTTGCTTGTTTGCGTGTTTGTTTGTGAAGAAGGAAAAAAATAGACGCAGCAATCATATACTCTCTCAGTTATAGTTACACTCATCATAGTAATGCTGATGCTGCTGCTGTTGCTGCTGCTGCTGCTGCTGCTGTTGTTGTTGTCGTTGCTGCAGCTGATTCTGTTGATGTTGCTTCTGGTGTTCCTGCTCGTGTTCTTATTGTTGCTGCTGCTGGTGCTGCTGCTGCTGGTGCTGCTGCTGTCTACTATACACCTGCTAAGCACTGCACACTGTACAGCAGCAGCAACAGCAGCAGCACGAGAAGCCGCAGCAGCAGCAGCAGAATCAGAAAAAGGAGGAACCGCAGCAACACCTCCAGGTCTTTCTTTACACGCAGCAACAAGAGCAGCAGCAGCAGCAGCAGCAGCAGCAGCAGCAGCAGCAGCTCTACCTACCATCTGTGGGAGCCTCACTAGTCTTGGAGGTCTTAATGCGTCTTTTTTCAGGCATTTTGTTTGTTGTAATTAAAAGAAGAAGAAGAAAAAAGAAGAAAAACAATCAAAACATCAGGGCCTGCTGCTCCGAGCTGTCTGTACACCTCGCCGTTGCATGCTGAGGGTTTTGCTGCTGCGATCTCTTTAAAAAATAGAACAAGAGAAAAAGACAGAGAAAAGCCAGCAGCAACAAGCAAGGCCTTATGCTGCTGCTGCTGCTGCTGCAGCAGCAGCTTTAAAACGAGCAGCGGGGAGGCTAGGGCCTCTGGTGTTGCTGCTGCTGCTGCTGCTGCTGTAAATACTGCTAAAACGCGAGCAGGAGTAGAAACACTGATTAAATGAAAGATAAAAACAAAGGAAAACAAAACAAAACAAAGATAAACGCACCGAGGGCCTTATACAATGCTGGGGCTGCTGCTCAGCGCCTCCCTCTCAATCTTAGTTTTACTGCTGCTGCTGTTGCTGCTGCTGCTGCTGCATATTTCTGTCTGCTGTTGTTGCAATTAAAAAGAATATTATTACCTACTTTAGACAACAGCAATAATAATGACGTACAAACAAACATTATACACACTGCAGCAACAGCAGCAGCAGCAGCAGCAGCCTCCCCGCATAGATCGTACAAGGCCTGCTGCTGTTTGTCTTTTCCTCCTGCAGCAATCTCTGCATATAAATGAATAAAGTTATTTGTTTTAAGTTCATTTAAATATTTTATTTAATGTGTCTGTTGCTAATAATGAAGCGCTAGCGACATCTCTTGCCTCTCGCATGCAGCAGCAGCAGCAGCAGCGACAGATTATCCTTAAGGCATAACAATACTTAATTAGTTTATTTGCACGCATGCAAATAAACAAACGTTTTATTATAATAAAGAGCTTCTTTTAAACAAAATATATTTATTTTATTTGCTGCTAATAGGATGCGAAGAAGCGCTGCTGCTGAGGAGAGCGGTATGTATTACATACACTGTATTATTATTGTTTTGCTTATTTCTATACACGAGCATGCAGCTGTTTCCTATTGCTATAATTAATAAACAAAGGCTAATAGGCCTTACCTGTTATAGACATGCATGCATGCAGCAAAGGAGGCTTATAATACACGCATCTGTGGGGTCTTCGCGTTGCCACAGCAGCAGCAAAAGAAGAAAAAGCAGCTGCTGTTATTTCTTCTGTCTCTTCACTACCCTATCAGCAGCTGTACGCCTTTGTTATATGCAGAGATAGCGACTGTAAGGAATTAATATATTTTGTTTATTTCATTTCACCAGCAAATTCATTTATAGCAGCAATTCAACTTGCTACACAAAGAGCAGAATATTCGCATGCAGTATAAAACGAATTGCTGACATCTTAATGCCTTTCCTTCTAGATTGTCCCTGAGACACTTCAGCTCAACATAATGCGTGCAATATCCCTTCAAAAAGCAATATATATATATATATATATATATATATATTTGCATGCATTATGCACATTATGGGTATTGGTAGCGCCAGAATAAGTTTCGTAAAATTTGAATGAAAATTTTACAGAGGCAGGGAAGAAACACAAATTTTTGTCTGTGGTAATTCGGTGAAACTCACGAGAAAATGATTTATAATAATATAATTTTATCATTTAAATGCCAATTTTCTTCTGTTGTTTGTCGATTGAAATTTTCTGATATCTTCGTTTCATCTTGAGGTGTATGCGCAGACACTTCAATGAGTTCAGTGTTAGCTTGTTGAACGATTTAGCAGAAAGCGCCCTTAATTAGTATAAATATTGACAATATTTCCCTTCTTCTGTTCTTATAATAGATATATTATTATATTTGAAGTATATTTTCTAGGTGCAAATCATAATACTCTGAAATGCGCAACTGCGACAGTTTCGCTGAAGTTGAAATATCAGAAAATGCTGGAGAGGAAAATTCAATAAAAAAGAAGAGAAGGCGGCAACGATCTTCCAGCGGTTGCTGTTTTTCTGTTAGTTCTGCTTCTTTTTTTCATTTATGTCGTCTAGAAGAAGAAAAAAGACACACCGCATTTCTGCTGCCTTTTGGGGCCCCTCGTTCAGAAACTGCACTGCCATCGCTTCCTCTCCACTCAGCTGTCTTAACCCTCGTACGATCTGCCTCCTCATCACTGCTGCAGCAATTAGAAGACTCTAACCCTCAGCGCACCGATGCAATGTGCAGCAGCGACATTTCTTTCTTATGTCTTATTCAAGAGAGGCGGAAGAAGGCAGCACAAAAGAAAGGGTTTGCTGCGTGCAGAGAAAAGAGGAAGCAAACAGTTTCTTCTGTTTCTTCTAATGACAAGGATCAGGCCTCCTGTTGCACACAACAACTCAGCAGCAGCAAGGCGAGCAGTCGTACATACACCTCATATTCAACGTTTCTTCAATGGTCTTCCTCTCTAGAAAGCAGCAACAGTTGTTGTGTATCAGATGCTTTCTCAACAACGAGAGAAAGACAAACAAAAGAATTACAAATAGACAGCGAGAAGAAGGAGCCCCCAGACTGTCCTCACCTGTTGCAAGCACTGCTGCTGCCTTCTCTTCTAAACTCGAAGCAGCAGCAGCAGCAACAGAAGCAACAGCAGCAGCAACAGCAACAGAAGCAACAGCAGCAGCAGCAGAACTGCCGTTTGCAATTTGCTCTCCGCCTTCATTCTGCTGCAGTGCGTTGCTTAAGAATCTCCTCCTTTCTTTCTTTGTTTGTTTCTTTTGCTTATTCTCAGTCTCATCTGCTCTTCAGGTTGCTGCTGCTGTGCAGGTGATGTCAAGCGAGCAGCAGCAACAGCAGCACAGCAACAAACGACAGCAAATTCAAAACTTGCTGCTGCAGAGGAAGAGGAGCAGCAGCAGCTCATCGCTGCAGCAGAAGCTACAAACGTCTTATAGACAGACATCACAAGGGCAGTACTGCTG